TGAATCAGTTTCTTGGATCATTGGGATCTCTTCTGGGACAGAAAAGATGGGTTTCACCTGAACTGGAAAGGGTCCAATATCCTGTCGGGGAGATTTGCTCATTCTATTTTAGGAGCCTGCAAACTTTTAGAGAGGAAGGGTGGAAGTCCCTAAGTCACAGTGAAAATAGAAACAAAGAGGAGGGTAGTTCTGAATCAGAAAAGATGGGTAAGAGCAAGTCAGAGAATGAGATAACTCTAAAGAGTTAAACTTTATTTCAATGCAAGAGGTCTTACAGTAAGGCTGAGGAACTCAGGGCACGTATGGGAACATGGGACTGGGACGTTGTAGCTATTACAGAACGTGGCTGAGAGAAGGACAGGACTGGCAGCTCAATGTTCCAGGTTTTAGATACTATAGGAAGATAGAAAGAGAGGCAAGAGAGGAGGGAGAGTGTCATTTTTAATTAAGGAAAACATTATTACTGTAATTAGAGAAGACATTTCTGAGGGATCATTTAGTGAAAATATATGGCTTGAAACTGGAAATAAGAAAGGAATGACCACTTTGACGTGATTGTACTATAGGCCCCCAAACAGTCACAGGGAAATTGAGAAGCAAACATGTAGTGAGATCTCAAACATATGTAAGAATAATAAGGTTGTAATAGTAAGGGATTTTAATTTTCCAAACATTGACTGGGACTGCCAGGTTTGCATGGTAAGAATTAATTAAATGTGTTCAAGAAAATTTTCTTTATCAATATGTATATGTTCCTACTCGAGAAGGAGCAAAACTTGACCTACTCTTGGGAAATAAGGCAGGACAAGTGACTGATGTGTTAGTCAGGAAACACCTTGGGACTAGTGATCATAATACTATTAGTTTTAAAATAGTAATGATAAAGATAAGTCTTCCATAAAAGTTCTTAATTGGAGTAAGGCAAATTTTAAGGGTATGAAACAAGAACTTTCAAAGTTGATTGAAGTAGACTGTTCACAGGCAAAGAGATGACTGATAAGTGGGAGGTCTTCAAAAGTGTGATACCAAGAGCTCAGAGGCATTATGTTCCTGTTAGAGTGAAAAGCAAGGCTGGTACAATTAGGGAACAATGGATGAATAAAAATATTGAGGTTCTAGTCAAGAATGAAAAAGAATCAAATATTAGGTATAAACAACTGGGATCAATTAAACCTCTTGAAGAGTATAAAGAGTAAAGGGACATTCTTAAGAAGGAAATCATGAGGGTAAAGAGGGGATGTGAGACAGCTTTGGCAGATAAGGTTAAAGATAATCCAAAAAGATTCTAAAGTATATTAAGAGCAGGAGAGCAACTAAAGAGAGTTACACCCCTTAAAGATCAACAAAGCCATCTTTGTGTTGAACATCGGGGGATGGGAGAGTTATTAAATGAATATTTTGCGTCAGTTTTTACTGTTGAGAAAGAAATGAAGACTATTGTACTCAAGGAAATAAATATTGATGTTTTGAAAACAGTTCACATTGCAGAACAGGAAGTGCTGGAGATCTCAGAAAACATAAAGGTAGATAAGTCTCCATTAGAGGCAAATTTTTTTTAACACAGAGGGCGGTTTGTGTGTGGAATGAACTTCCTGAGGAAGTGGTGGATGTGGGTACAGTAACAATGTTTAAAAACATTTGGATAGATACATGAATAGGAAACGTTTTGGAGGGATATGGGCTAGGAGCAGACAGGTGGGACTAGTTTAGTTTGAGACTGTGTTTGGTATAGACTAGTTGGACCCAAAGGTCCGTTCCGTGCTGCATGACTCTATGATTCCATAAGTGTATCCAGGACATTGTGGCAAGTTAGGGAGGAAATTATAGGGCCCCTAGCAGAAATATTTGTATCATCTATAAACACAGAAGTGGAGGGTCGCTAATGTTTGTGCCATTGTTTAAGAAAGGCTGTGAGGACAAGCCTGGAATCTATACACCTGTGAATCTGACATCGGTGGTGGGTAAGCTGCTGAAGATAATCCTGAAAGATAGGATTTACATGCATTTGGAGAAGCAAAGATTGATAAGGGATAGTCAGTATGGTTTTGTGCGAGGAAAATTGTGTCTCACAAACTTGATTGAGTTTTTTGAGGAAATAACCAAAAAGATTAATGAGGGCAGAACAGTAGCCATTGTTTATTTGGACATTAGTAAAGTTTTGACAAAGTTCTGTATGGCAGACTAATTAGTAAAATTAGATCACATGGGATTCAGGGTGACCTTGTCAATTGGATACAAAATTGGCTTAATGGCAGGAGACAGAGGGTGGTGGTTAATGTCTGTGACCAGGGGTGTTCTACAGGTATTGGTACTGGGTCCACATTTGTTAGTCATTTGCATAAATGATTTGGACCGGAATCTAGGAGGCATGAAGTTTGCAGATGACACCACAATGAGTGGTATAGTGGACAGCGAACAAGATTATCTAAGATTACAAAGAGATTTTGATCAATTGGGTTAATGGGCTGAGCAGCAGCAGGATGGAGTTTAATTTGGATAAATGTGAGGTATTGCATTTTGGTAACACAAATAATCACAGGACTTGTACAATAAATGGGTAGTGTTGTAGAACACAGATCTCTAGGAGTTCAGGTACATAGTTCTTTGAAATTTGCATCACATATAGACAGGGTGGTTGAGGCAGCGTTTAGCATGCTTGCCTTCATTGCTCAGGCCTTTGAGTATAGGGGTTCAGATGTCATGTTGAGGTTGTACAGTATGTTGGTCAGGCCTCTTCTTGTGTGCAATTCTGGTTGCCCTGTTTTATTAAACAGGATATTATTAAACTGGAGAAGGTTAGAAAAGATTTAGCAGAATGTTGCCAGCAGAAGGAGAGTTTGAGATATAAAAATAGACTGGAAATATACAGGAGTGTAGGAGGTTGAGGGGTGACTTTGTTGAGGTTTATAAAATCATGAGGGGCATAGATAAGGTGAATGATAAAGGTCTTTTTCCTTCGGTGGGAGAGTTCAAAACTAGCGGGCATAGTTTTAAAGTGGGAGGACATGAGGGTCAACTTCTTTTTTTACATGGAGTGGTTCATGTGTGGAATGAACTGCCAGAGAAAGTGACAGATGCAGGTACAGTTACAGCATTTAAAAAACATTTGGATAAGATCAAGAAAAGGAAAGGTTTAGAGGGATATAGACCATGAGCAGGCAGGTGGGAGTAGTTTAGTTTTGGAACATGGTTGGCGTGGACTGGTTGGACCAAAGGTTCTGTTTCCATTCTGTATGCCTCTATGTTGTCAAGTCACTAATTAAGCATGCTTATCTTTGGATTCTTGGCAGGCACAGCTTGCTGAGAAAGTACAATATTGTAAAGTTCCTTTAATTACTGTCCCTGAAGAACAAATAGGTTCTACTCTTAACTCAACAAGATGATTATTTTTAAAAAGAGACGTCACGTGGATACGTCTTTTGTTATGGACTTCTTGTTTCTCAACTAATTGCAGCAAACAGTAGACACGGTCAAACCTAAAAACTTCCTATTACATACGCTTCTACTCATCAGTCCAATTCATTTTGACTACTCAATAGCTATCTTAGCTGAGGCATCAATATGCAATGACAACAAATTTCTATGAAGTCTATAGTAATACAGATATGAGACTCCAGATACAATTATTTGCTTAGAGATAGTTTTATTGGGAATTGTAATGTAATTGAAAGCTTTACTTTTTAAAAGGCAATCTCTGTTGCTTCCCTCCCTTTTCCTAGTGTACACTGCAGGCCTAATATCCTCCAAAGTTTCCCTTTTCTCTCATACTGAATTGATATTTCCTCCAGTTTCTCCCCTAAATAATCTTAGGATCTCTGAGCTGAACTTCATCTCTTGCTCTCTTAAACCCTATTCCCACTAAACTGGTCAATTAACTTTCCTTCCTCGCTTCCAAGTTAGCTGAAATAATAAATGGCTTATTAGTTTCTGTTCCTCTTACTTTTACATCTATCAAAATCACCACTCTCAAAACAGCAATTCCTTTACCGGTCCAGCCCAGCAAAATACTGCCCCATTTGAAATGTCCCTTTTCTCTCCAGAGTCCTTAAATGTGTCATGGCCATCAAGATAGTTCCCAACTTTCTCAGAACTTCTCCAATCAGGTTTCCATCCTATCACAGTATTGAAACAGCTCTTAACATTACAATTACATCATAGCTGACAATGAAAAAATGGAAAACTCCTTTTTGACCTGTTGGGATCTTGATATAGTTGACCACAGCATTCTACTCCAATGCCTCTTCTCTGTCACTCAGGACCACAAATTACTGATTTCATTGCTATTATAGCCAGAAAATAACCTGCACTATTTTTTCTTCTCAAGCTCACACTGTTGCCACTGGTGTCCCTAACTAATTGGTCTTCATTTTAATTTGAATATATGTTATTTTACAACAGATATTTGCTGACTCCTTCAGGACAAGAGTGTACTGTACATATAAATTTCCTCCCAGAAAGGACTTCTGACTTCAAAATTTTTAAAGTTATTTTTATTTTTAATCAAAACATCTTTTAAGGGTTTATATCAGCTCTGTCGTAACCTATGCATGTCACCTTGTGGACTATTGATACATCGACATTCTCCTCTCGGATATGAGAACTCTTTGTTAGATTTGGCAGATGTCAGTTTCAGCCTCAGTGAAGTTTGATGAATTTCCCATAGCTGATTCCAGTATTCACTATTTTGGATTACAATTTTTCATATCTATTTTCAAAGGTAAATTGATCTTCATAAAACTTACAACCTACTGTCCCCCAATCTTAATGCTTCTGCCAAGGAACAGGTGTTAGAGCACAAATGTGCTACATTTTAAAGGAGTTAGCCATACACACACATGTATGGCACTCTGGTCAAATCCATTCTAAACAGAATCTATTGTATAGGTTGTTAAATTCAACACTCCCTTGTAGTCCAGAGTAAATGTCTCCTATTTTTTGAATAAACTCCATGGCATGGGAATGGGATTGGGGGTTTCACTGATAGGTACACAGGGTGGTCGATAAAGATTCAGATGCAACTTATTTGCCTTTTATTGTCACAGTGCTTGCATGACACAATGCTAATCAAACACTTGAGTAATTATAGCAACCAATCTCTATTGGTTAGTCTACTGATGCAGACACAACAAAAGGAATAACCCAGAAGTGCAGTGCTTTGAGAACCATAAGTCCAAAGTCACCTGTTTTATCCAAAAAGGAAATCACAAATCATGCTTCGTTTACTCATATATACGCATATTTTAAAATGTTACTTTCAACATGACCTTGGTACCGAATTCAGATATTTAGTGAGTACTCTCATGGAATAATAATTACATGCTTGAAAAGCATTAGTTGTTAATTAGTTACTTAACTCATGGAACAGTGTTTTCTTGCTCTGCGCTATATAGGATCTCTCTGAAGTAGCCTTTAAAAATAAATTCTATTATAAGGCACAGAGTTAATATTGGTCTACTAGCATCAAAACCAGTACAATTAATAAAAAGATGTAACAGGAAGAACAGAACTGATCTGAAGCAAATAAATTACTTCAATGATAATGAATGATAACTGCACTACACTTTCATACACAAGTTTTTTTGTGCATGCATATATTAAAAATAAAATGACATAAAATCAGAACATGTTACACTTATTAAGCCAAGTGTTTTCTTTTAAATACATTTTCAGGAAGTGGCCATCACTGAAAAGGCCAGCTAGCGTTTATTGTCTGAATTTCCCCAATAAGACAGAGGTGAAACATCTTCCCGAACTGCAATGGCCTGTATGGTGAAGATGTTTCCATAATATTTTTGAGCAAGGTTAGTTCTTATTTTAACAGGCAGAGTAGTCACTGGCAAACCAGAGATATTCCAAATTTTTTTTTGGCTTTAATTCAGTTAAAGCAAGATGCAATGTGTTCCACTCACCTGCTCGACATCCCTCCCTTAATCATTTACCCAGCACAAAAATTCTACTGAATTAAATCTTCGCTGAATATCTCTTTGTGCTCTTCAATGTTTCTGCACTTTTAAAAGAGTTATTTGCCTACATCTCATAACCTAAACTTACAAAACTGCAGTCAAATCTACATGGTTGCATTACCAAGTCACAATTCTTCATATTATGCTTTTGCAGATTCTTCACTTTCTCACAGTCACGTTACTCATAACCTGTGACCTTCAAGTTTTTTTCTGGAGTCTTAGTCACGAATATCAACATTTACAATCTGATCACTGATGAAAACTGGATGACATAAACCACCCACAAGCAACCAATTTGCCTATAAATGTGAGGCTGATGAATTACCACAACAATTTACGCTATGGGAATTAATGTTTTCTACAACAACTCTGAAGCATGTAACACTGTTTTGTTTCTTATTCTGTTACAAATAATCTGTTAATACTGTTACCTTCAGCTACACAGTTGCAAACAGTCAATTGTGCAATTACATGTTTTCTGTTCAATGAGAGATCAGGATTTCAAGAATGGAAACAAGGAATTATAAAACAGTATCCCTTCTCTGCCTATACAGTGTTTAATGGTGTATAATTATAATACCACCATGGATCCAAATTAATTAATTGTTTCAGTTCAAAATAAAGTTGAATGCTAAGATTGGAAATGCACCACTATTGTGTGGGCGAGGCAGATTTGGTCTCGAACTTCAAGATGGAATTAGACAGTTATCCAGAGAAAAATTGCAGGGCTACAGAAAAGGCAACGGATGGTAATGGAACTAGCAGAATTGTTTTTGTAAGAAAGAAGGCATGGACATAATGGGCCAAAATACTTCTCCTGCACTGTAATAAAAAAATTAAAGCTGCCATAATATCAGAGGACCATAGGACTACTCTCTCATTAGATAGAAACACCGGTGGTGTTTTAACCCGAGGGTCACCACAGATGAGGAGAGAGTTGAGTAGAGAGGTTGAGTAGGGGAGTCCTTCACAATAACCTCAGCTGGTGCAGGAATTGAACCCACACTATTAGCATCACAAAACAGCCGTGCAGCTAACTAACACCCTTTCGTACCATAAAATCTTTGTGACTCTATGTGACCAATAGCATCTTGATAATCACTTTTAGATAAATTCGATACATAAGTTTAGCGTCTGTAAGTGGAAAATCAACAACTCAATTGATTTTCTTCCTTTAACTTGCGTGTAGCAATATTATTGTCCTACATATTATGCAGAGAACTCCCAAAGAGCAGGGGCCAAATACATGAGAATCCGAAGTCGGTGGTAAAGTGATCAGAAAGCAAAAAGAAGCGGTTCCCTCAGCTCAACCGACTTTTATGTGTACATAAAGTCAATAAAAAATAGAAACACAGTATTTAAAGACAAAAGGGCATAAATACACATATAACTAAGAAAATTAACCGTGGTTTACATGGATATAAAAGCTGTTACAATGAAGTAAGAAACTAACTATAATCGACGCTTACAAAGTAGTCTCACTTTATTCTGTCGTAAGCGTCCAAATATGCAACACCAGTAGCAAACTCTTCTAATCTCCCTATATTTTTAGGGAGATGGCAGGAACCTCATTTCCAAGGGGACAATATGAGATTTTTAAATTATAGCGGGGAATATTTATCACATCAAAAATCCACATACTCCTCAGTGAAATTAGTAGCTTATAAACATACGTTACTACAGCAAACCACCATTTTGAGGCCACACGCAAGCTGTGAATGTTGCATGCCGGTATTTGTAGTTCCTCTCGTTGCTCCCTTTCTGTCTGTCCGGAAGGATACAGAACACGCGAAGACTACAATACCACTGGATGCTCGCGCACCTCCGCTATCGCTCTGCGCTCCTTTAACCTCGCCTCCGTGACTTACAGACTACACCTCCCAACATTCTATGCGCGACCAGGCGCCTGCGCTCTTCTTTTTAACGGCGTCTCCGGCGGTCGGAGCATCAGGTGCAGTTGGCGTGGCGCACTCCGGGAGTCGTAGTCTTTTACCCGGCGGTGTCTCCTATACACTGAACGTGGCAGGCGGGGGGCTGCGGACTCCAGTTCCCGGCCTGCCTTGCGGCGGCCTGGCTGCCATGGCGGCGGGCTGTTTTGCGGAATTGCAGGACCCCCCCTCTGGCGGGTAATTGCTCGGCCGCTCGGTTTTCATTGTCTGTGAGGGAAGAGGGAGAGAGACAGAGAGAGAGAGAGAGAGAGAGAAAAAAATAAGAGAAAAAAAAATTAAAATTTGATTCGTTTTTTTTTCGAAAAAAAATCTATAAATTTAACCAAAAAAAAAGAACCGGAGCCGATGGAAAGAAACGAGCCGAACTCCTGCCAAAACCCCCGGCCCTTTGAGAGAAAAAAAGCAGGCGAGAGACGGTGATGAGGAGATTAAAATCTCACCTCCCCCCTCACAGGCTGGCAGGATTGTTATAGGAGAGCGGCGGAAAAAAAAATAACACCCTTCCCGGGCTAGTGAGCGGCACCGAGCGAGTACCGGGGCTTTGATCTCGGCGAAGCCTTACCCTCCTCCTCCTCCTCCTGCCCCCCCCCTCCCCCCTCCCCAGCCCCCCCCTCCTCAAAGCTCCGCTTTAATTCCCGTCGTGGCCGGCGATGGCTTGGGCTCGGGCTCCGGCGCCCGACTCTCCGGAGATGAGAAAGAAGAGACTGTAGAGAGAGAGAGAATATATATCTATCTATATTATATATCTATATCTATAAAAAATAAGGATTGATTTTATCTCGGGAGCTCTCTGACTTTTTTTTAAAAATAATTTATTTGGGGAGTAATTTCTTTTTACCCCCCCCCCCCAACCTCAACCAACCCACCCTGTGAAAGATTATTATGGCTAAAACTCCGAGTAAAAGCGGCGGTTTGAGGACTGGCAGGAGTTTCCTGGATGAGCTGCGGCACTTTCACAGGAGTAAAGGGTAAAAAAAAATATTTCGGCAGAAAATAAATACAACTTTTAATCAGCGGAGGGGAGGGGACGAGGGGGAAGAGAGGTGGGGGGTTGGACACGGATTAACCGTTTAACAGTTGTAGGAGGGAAAGGATAAGGTGTGTGGTGCTTTTATTCAGGGGCCTTCAAAGGCTTTTTCTCTTGTTACTCGGTTATCAGAACAGTCAGCAGAGGCGACAGGCACTGAGTTTTATTTTATTGTGAAGAATGAAATGTGTTCACCTTTCGAAAAGTTTTTTTATATATAAATAGCGTAAGGAAGTTGAGCAGCAGAGGGGCTAGAACATTAGCTAGCTGCCTTTCTCGCCTTCCTTCACCACCATGTGCCAGCAGTAATTCTTGGCAAGGAAGTATTTTTGTCTAATTTTCATCTTCACCCTTTTTAAAAGACATAATTGGAATTGCATTATTTTTGCGTTCTATTACCCAGTCGCTGTAATTATCTGTCAGGTTGAAAGGGGAGGGGGCTTCTCCATCGCTCCTGTATGTGTGGGAATGAAGTAAAACTTTTATACTTTTCCATTTTATTTCAATTTTTAAAATCATTTTACTTGTTTCACTTTGAATTCAGAGCGACTTAAAATGAACATTTTGGGGGCGAGTAGATTTAACACCTGCATCTAATCAGCTTGGAGATTACATTATTCAATATTTACAACAATAAATAAAACATTTTATAACACATTTTCCCAAACTTCCAGTGGGGGATTCCTTTGTGTTTTAAGGTGCGAGTGCCCTTTTTAAAAATTACTTTAAATTACCTTTTAAAAATGTGGAGCTGAGACTTCTTTTTAATGTTTTTAGGACCTCTTTTAGAAAGATCCCAATAATCGGAGGGAGAGAGTTGGATTTGAGTGCTTTATACAGCAGAGTCACCTCACTCGGGGGATTCGCCAAGGTAACATTTATACAATAATAAAAATGTTCGATAATGATGCCTTTTCTAAATTAAGGGCTATATTTGATGTCCCATCAATTGAAATTTAACCCTTTTTGAACACATTTCGTATGCACGTTTTGTTTACTGTTGGCACTATTTTTACATGCTTTAAATAAATTAAAATATTAGTTGGTATGAGTTGCTTAAGTTTGTCTTTACGAACCATTCCCATTGTTGACAAACTCGAGTTGGGAACCTGTGGGTCTCAGACAGCTACAGATGGGGACTTGCATATATGGCTGGAGAAAGGGGCTTGTATTTAACTAATACTTTCAGTTTAACAAATTTGTAGATCCTCAATAATTAGTGTTTTGATATAGTTATCTAAATATATAGAAAATAAAACTTAATTATGGATAGTTATTTTCAAGTCTGGTTTCCAATTTGTCTTCAATGAATTGGACGTAATCCATCCAAAATATGTTTAAACAAAAATTAAAAAGAAGATTGCTAAACATTACCTTAGGAAAAGTAGCGGTTGGGTATGTTTAGAAGGTATTTCATATGATTATTTAAGAAATTATCCTTTTTGCGAAGCGGAACGGCTCGTGTGAGCCCTTTAAGGCCTGTGTCTCCCAGTGTAGAGTGAGGGAGCCAGTGAATGAAACTGAAAATTAGCGACTCCGTAACATCAATAATGTGAGCGAGACGTAGAGCAGTGCAGTGACGATCGTTAACAGTCTACAATCCAACCATCTGCTGCAGTTGAACTGCTTTTAAAGGGTACAGATCGCGGGTATTTGTTTACTAAAAAAAAGGGTTGTTAGGCTTCATGCCCAGCTAGGCCTTGTGGAGGCCTCAATCAACATAAATTGAAATAAGAATCTGCAAAAAGCATTTGAGAATGTTGAAAGGAATTTTCGCTAGACTTAAAATTTGCTAACCAAACTTTAATGTTCCATGTGTTAAATGTTTAGATTACTGAAATTTGAATAGCAAAATGTTTTTCATATATTTGGAAAATTTTGTTTGTTGGACAGAAAGATTCTCTGCATTTTCCCTACATATTGTGGCATGGGGCATCAAAAAATTTAACCTGTTTGGAACTGAAGTGATCATAAAATTAAGTGACTTCACTTCCACCCACTCCCCCCAAAAAAAAACTCACATCAAACTTGGTGGGGTGGGCAGTATTCTGAAAGGGGAAAATTTAGTGATTTAATTGGCTGAGGTTAAAATTTAGCGTTCACTTGAACAAAGTCAAATTACTTCTCTTAGCTTGCAGCTTTTCTTACATCAGTTGTAATGGCAGCAGCAGTTGTAGCTTCCATGGCTGAGGTGATTTTTGTCTGGAATTTCCTATAATACTGTACAGTAAATTCATGAAGGATTGTAGGTCTTTAAGAAATAAGGTGTATTGAGGGATTTAAGCACAAGGCTAAGAATTTTAAATTTGAGGATGTGGGTCAACAGGCATGAATGTGATGAGTAAATGGGGTTTAATGCATGTTTTGTTTTGTCATGTTTTGTCCTGCAGAATTTTCATTTGAGCTCAAGTTCATGTCACATAGAGGATAGTGCGTCAGCTCGGAGAGCTTTCAAATAGTTGGGTCTAGAGATAATCAATACTAGCAGCTTTCATTTATACAATGCCTTTAACATAGTAACACATTTGAAGCATCAATTGTATTATCAAATAGTCACTTAAGGGATTTGGGCAGTCACGAGGGATATTGTGGAGATGAAAAGTAGTAAATTTCAATGCAAATCTTAAGAGTAAGCAGAGTTTGGGGTCTTGACAAGTAAAGGCATGGTCAGCCCACTAAAGAACAGGGTAAGGGTGTTTTTTAGCAGAAGGTGGGCTGAGCAGAGAAGACAGTCAAGTTATAGGATGCTAAGATTTCAAATAGTCTAGCCTGAGACTGTTGATGAGATTGAAATCTGGTGAAAGAATTGATTTTGTAGTAGTCTGAAGTCAATGGCTTTTGCCTTTCTAATATTTATTTGGAGGAAGTTGTTGCTTATCCAGGATTGGACGTTGGGCAAATCAGTTGACCGCTCGGAATGGATGTTGGCAGAGTCAAGACAATTAATGATGAGGAAGAACTGGGTGTCACCAGCCTGTCCTTGTGTCTTGGGATCGTTTTATTGTGGAGCATGTTGTAGGTCTAGGACCTATTCTTGGGAAATTTCAAAGGTAATGGTGCCAACACATTATTATTGCATCTACATGGGCATAGCAGAAGCAACATATTCAAGCTGGAAAAAGAAGTACCTTTCAAAGGAAATACTTGATCTTGTATATATGCTTTTTTTATAGCCAAAGCTATTAATTAATAACTGGAATATGATTTGACATTATGTATTTGTATTTCCATCTGGAGCTGTGTAATAGATGGTGAATTGGGTTGCCCAGTCAGCCACTGCAAAGTATACAACTTGTGTAGTTTCTGGAAGCTTTTCCTCTGCTCAGTTTTGTTCCTTTGCCTTGTGAGAGCCTGTTTTGGCCATTTTCAATATATTTTATCATTTTTGGTCTGTTCCGTAGCAGCTACCTAAATGGAAAATGAGAGTTTAAAACAATTTTAAGGGGACGATACAGAATTGACAAACATTTGTATTTTTATTGATATGAGGGTAAGAAGGCCATGTGACCAAGACTGGGTAGAAGGAATGTGTTAACTGTATTACTGTGGGGCCCTGTTGGGTTGGCTATCATCAACCTGTTTTTCAATACAAGGAAAAAAAAATGCCCTTTTTTGGGCAGCTATCCAATTGTCTTTGTTCACATTCCCAGTTTAAATTTCTGAATGCACGTAGCAAACATCCAAGTTCTCACTTTTAAAATTTCTGTACGTTTGAGAGCATTTTGAAAAACGATTCCCTTTTCTGTTGCCAAACAATGCTTACTGGCTCTCTGTTATGGTGGCTTAAACATTGGGAGCCTTCAGTCAATTTACCATAGCAGCTACTTTTTAAGCACAGTCTGCACTGAGAGTACATGAGGAATGGGACTGGGTGTAATTTTGTCCTCACTTGCTGTCTGCACAGGCATATTTCCCAGTCATGCAGCTGTGCTGCAATCAGGCGTGGAACACCTGATTTTTGTTTCTTATCCCATTCAGCCATTTGTGACGCACTGTGTTCTCATCAGCTAAGCTAGCACAAGGCTGAGTGTGGCCTCTAATATTCACTATTCTCCCAGAAAAGTTTACCAGTCAAGTTACTGGGCAAGACAACTTGACAACAGCTTTTACTGGTTGTTTTAAGGAGGTGGATTCCAGGTGGATCATTCACAGCCATGCTGTTTTTGTGTTGAAACTTACCAAAAACATTTGACTTTGTTCCACAGCATTGGCTTCTAGATTATTTTAGTGCAATACGATTCAAGAGATTTCTTATCATTTGTGATTTTAATTCCATCTCATCACTGCAGGTTTTTTGTTTCCCAAGTTCAGTCTTCCTATTGTCCCTTAATCACTCCATGGCCACTCCTTTGGCCTTAGCATCTAGTAATTGTGCCATTGCAGGCAAGAACATCCAAGCTTTGTGTATCAGTCTCTATCGGCTTCCTCTTTCCAAGGCTCCTCACCCCAGTCCTGCTAAATCTCTTTCTTGCTTTCTGTCCCCTCCTCCGACCATAGGTTATCCGCTTACAAATAAGTTACAAGTGCAATTCAGTTTTATTTCTTCTGCTGGTGACCTGATCAGTTACATCTTCACCTCTATGTTTGATGTCATGGTCCCTGTTGAAAACATTACTATCTATGTCATCCCCTAAGTCAAAGGCATTGTCTATATAGTTGAGAAACAGTTGACCATTCATTCTCTGATCTGGCTGGACCATGGAAACCATTTTTGATCCTCTCAAAACAATTTACCTAATCCCGGATTATCCAGGAGTGCAAAAGTTTTCCCCTGATGTCGCCAGTATATACCAACCTAAACCCCTGTCCCTGCTTCCTGTGTGCACGTTCCCTAAGAATTGGGAAAAGTTTGTGAGCTACTTCGTTGCTAAGATTAACGCCAGCTCTTTCTGTTTCCTCCACTCTGAGCTAGCAAACAGAAGTTTCTCTAACACACTCACTGCCATATTTCTAAATCATCTTTCTCTCATTTCTCTCCTTTGTTGCCTCAGAGTTCATTTCACTCGTAAGTATGACCACTTGTTTGCTTGATTCCATTCCCTGTAATTTGCTGATTGCCTAACTTCCCCTCCGAATCCCAATCTTTGCCAATTATTATTTGTTCTCTCTCTTTTTCACTTGCTGTTCTTTTCTCCTTTAAATCTGCTATCATCATCTCACTTTCAAAAAAAAAGCAATTGGGGACCTATGTATTACTATTAAACTTTCTCCTCAACTCTCCTCTTAGGTTTAAGGCAGGAGATAGAAGGCTATGTCCCTGGTTAATGACCCCTTTGCCAATGGAAGAAGTCTTCCTTCCCACCCCTCATAATCCTGCACACCTGTATGCAATCCACTCTTAGGCCTTCACTGCTCCAAAGAAAACGGCTCCAGCTTATCCAGGTTTTTTTTATTGCAGCTTAGACCCTGCAGCCCAGGTTGAATCCTGGTAAATCTCTTCTGCACCCTCTGAAGTGCAATCACGTCCTCCTTATGGTAACCAGAATGCTACAGTATTCCAGTTCTTTACTCAGCCAGCAATTTATCATCTGCTGTTGTATTCTGTGCCTCAGTTGATGAAGATAATTATCACATATGCCGCCTTAACCACCTTATCTACCTGTCATGCGACCTTGAGAAATCTGTGGATATGTGCACCATGATCCCTGTGATTTCTAGGTTGAATTCCATTTGTCTTTACTCTGCTTACCTGACCAGTCTGGTATCCTCCTGCAGTTTACAACTCCCCTTCTCGCTATTTACCACCCTAGCAATTTGTCTTCCACAAACTTCTTGATCATACCACCAACACCCCCTCCATCCCCGACATTTAACGCATCAACGTTCACCACAAATAGCAAGGGCGTTAGGACTAAGCACTGCTGAACATGC